TAAATTATTAATTTAATAGCTAGTAAGTACTGTATGAACTGATTTTTTTATAGATGTATAAAGTATGTATCAATTTAAGATCTCTCACTAAAACTATTATCAATGTTTAATGTATACCTAATAAATTTATACATAGTACGTCCACCCAATTTTGTTTCCCCCTCTCACTCTTTCTGACATGATAAAGGCACCCAATCTTTATATATTCTGGGTTAGTTTTGAACTCTTTCCACCGTATAGGTCACTACTTTATAGGTAAAGAGATTGCTTCTCGTCTGTTTTTGTGTAAGCAGTATAGAAAGGAACTCATGGTTTTCAGATAAATAGTAATAAAGGTCAATTTATGCGATTTAAGGGGGACAACACTTCAACCACAAAAATAAATAAGTAAAGGGTTCAAATTTAAAAAAGAGTAAAGTCTTCAATGTAATTTCTCTTCCCTTCTTTTATTTTTCTTTTTCCCTATCTCGATCTTCTTCTTCTTCTTCTTTTTCTCTCTCTCTCTCCTTTCTAATCTTTTTATTGTTTCTAGTTGATAGAAAAAAAAATTCATCAATAATCGAAAAGCAAAAATTATTAGATGGTTACTGTAGTGCGACGGGTGGTTTGTTTTTCTTTTGTTTATCATCAACCTAACCCGAGTGTACGCTAATGACTAAGATAGAGCTACTTATCAATTTTGCGTCTTGGAGCATTCTCCCCTCATGGCCTAATTATTCAAAAAATTTAAATTATCGGAATAAAATACATGAATAATTTTATTATATATTTAACATGTTCATTCGCAAAGAGGATTTATTGAACTTTGAAAAGTGAATAATACATATTTACTTACCTCATATTTTAAATTCTTTTATTTAGAATAAAAGAGTGATAATCACTAAACTCGCTCTAGAGAGACTTGATTATAAACAATTTGATATCATTTCTCGAGTGCCTTCATTTAATAAATTAATAATATAAACCTTTTAAAAAATTAATTTACTAAACTCCTATTAGTCTAAGTCTAATTTATTTATTTTTTGGTAAACATATGATGTTTTTCCACTCAACCACCTCCAGCTACCTTACCATCCGGATATGATCGTAGAGTTAGCTCCTCATTATTAATAAAGAGATTAATATTTGTTACACTCAACCGGTTAATCTCGACTCCATTTCCATACTTTGAGAAGCCAGACAGAAATGTCTTAATTTGCAGATTTTCCTCAGAGACAAATTGAACTCAAACTCTTCATAATGCCACCAAGAAACATTACACTCCTAATAAATAAAGAGAAAATTTAACCCTAATGCCAATCTTAGTGTTGTGTCTTTCGTAACATAGTTAGCAGTCATGCATATTTGGGTACGTACGTACATGTGTAAGAGTCGTCTTGAGGACCAAAGCAAATGAAAATAAATTAACTCACAAACAATAATTTATTCATTTATTTAATCATGTTGGGAAACGTGGGAACGTTTAATACATTCATAGAATTTAATGGTAGAAACAAATCAGTTAGTTAAGGCCTTAAGGGGATAAGAAATTCCATCACTTCAAGAAACACTGAAATTTAGATATATAGCCAATTAGGGTATTCTTCACTTACGAAGCAAAGTAACTGAGGCGTGAGGGTTATGTGTCTGCTTCTTTTAAGACAAAAAAAGGGGGGGCCCGGGGGGAATCTAACCCTAGCCATTAACTATAATATATAATATTCCACCAAAAACATTCTAAAACAATATCTAATTACACTCTTTTCTCCCATACCCAGTTATTATTTGCTAAAACATATATCTATTGTGCAATAAGTTTGTGTGGTGGAGCAAAGATCTTTGCCTGCTTAGAAGTATGCATTACTAGATCCTATGTTTGGTTGTCTGCTAATTAATAATATATATGCTTCTAAAGACACACATTATGGAAAATCAAAACACTTTTTTCAATTAATTAATTTTGTTCAGTTCATTCTCCTGATCCTATCTGCCAAATTTTAATTTCAATTTTTTTAAATATATCAAATGAGACATAAACATTGGGAAGGATGGGAGAGCAGAGATTCCACTTCCTTTAATTGAAGAAAGGGATGGGGCATCCTTTCAATTTCAATACCTGTTCATTGACCAAAGACTATTGTGCCATTCTTTGCTCCCATACCAAACTCCTTGAATCCCCATTCACTTGATAACCAAAATATTAATTTTCTTTTGGAGAGTTTTCTGAGAAAAGAACAAAATACCAATTATATTATGTCCACTAGAGGGTATCACCACCTTTCAATAAAATCCAAAGCTCATTGAATTGTTTTGTAGCCCCAAGCACTTTCCATTTTGCTTACATCACCCTATTTCAGACACTGTCCCCCCAACTCTCTACTACTGCTAAGTAACTTTCTCTGTCCTTAGCATCGTACATCATGCATTATATACGTGTACAGTATATAGTTAAACTAACCCCTTAATAAATCACATCATCAGCTTCAGCTTCAGCTTCAGCTTCAACCCCATTGTTTCTCTTATCTCTCACTCACCCACGGACACAGACACAAAAGCATTGTTGTAGTACATTATACAGGAAGAATCCGTTTAGGAAATCATGGAGATAGCAATGTGTGTCACTGTCAAGGGAAATGAAGGCAATAAATGGTTGTGTCATTAGGCAATCTAAAACATTAAATGGCTGAATAGCAAAATGAAGAGGCCAGGAGAAGGGTTTCTTTCTTTTCTCGTTAATGGATGGTCAAAGGGATAGGAGCATAATGGCCTGTCAAGCTTTTCTGGTGTGTCAGAGTGGTGAAATGAAAGTAATGAGTTCTCCTTTTAGTCATTATGTAACTTACAGATTGAACAGAGATGCAAGTGCAGCAGGTAGAAAGAAAGGAGATACCGACTACTCTTAGAAAGAGAGAGAAAGATGGTGTGTGTAGTGTGTGTGTGGAGTTTAAAAATTCAAGTATATAGATTGTGTCATTGAACTTTTCTTTTCTGTATATTTCATCATGATTTTTGGTTGGAAAAATGTTCACCAGGTTATGGTTACATGCTGTTGCATTCTAGCTAGTGTCATTTTATGTATGCAGCGGTTTCTCTTTGAATGTAACTAATAAGTACGATATGCTGCTCTTTAGTACTTCTTCAATACTTTTTTTTTATATTTTTAAAAAATATAAAGACTCCTAGAAACTTTTTCTATCAACCTTTTAATTTGCAAATTAGATTATGGTAAAAAAGGATCACATAATACGAATAATTAAGAAAGAAGAAAGCAAGGTTTTTTATTTTTTGAAAAATATTCTCAATTAATGCGGTCAGTCTAGGTCACACGTTAATAAGTCTCACACGTCAATCATGTGAGATTTAGTGTCAAAGTGAAAGTCTCGCAAGTTGACCATAAAAACTTAATATAGCATTGAAATCCGGCACGGCAAACATACCGGAGATGCGGGTCTTAAAAAGTACCATAAAATTTCGTATATTTGTCACGCGAGATTTTCACATTAACATTAAGTCAACGTAGTCTTGGACGATCAATATGCAAAACTTCCACACTGACATTAAGTCCTGCCTGATTGATGCAAGATTCATCCCTTACAGTTAATATGCGGGACTGATCACATTAATTTAAAATAATATCTATTAAAAAAATGAATCAAATAAGTTTTTTTATTTTTTTAAATGATCAAAAAGACAGAAAACAAGGGGGAAAAAACATGTATTCCCTAGTAGTGCAACAACGGTTGGGAGGAATATATTTAGTGTTCTTTAACTTCCTGCTGGGACCAATTGAATCTTTTGAATTAAGAAGTATTCAACTCTTCTACCTGGAAAAAGTTACAGTGAAGTTGAGATTAAAATTAACCCATTTTCTCTTGTTTGGGTTTTGAAAAATAATAACTGAGGTCCTTCTGTTTTCGGGGTAAGAAAAAGATTGGGAATACTAATGTGTTACACTCTACACTCTACAGCACATATATACAGTATGTGCAAACTATGTGAAAGCTTTTTTTGAACAACTAGTAATTAGTAGTGCAATTTCTGCCTTATTACTCACAACCCAGTTATTACTTGCTAGTAGCTACTTTGATTCAATAGTGTATTAAACTGTCATTTGATATTTCGCTTTCACATAGTGCGTTTGGTAGAGGAAAATTTATTTTTTATCCGGGAATCTCAATTTTCAAAAATATGATTTTTACATTCAGTTTATGATAATATCTAAAAATTAAAAATTTAGAAAAAATTCAGTTTCCCGAAAATCCTGAAGAATAACGCGTCCCAAACGGGGATATCCTGGCACCATTATCTTGTTACTCAAGTAGCAGACAACCGAACAAAATTATAGTACGGTGTGAAAAAAAAAAAACCTCTCATATATCAAAGTTTATTATACGCTGCTAAAATTTATTAGGTGCAGTGTTGTGGTTTCTGGCTGGTTGAGTTGAATAAATGGTTGTTGTGGCTTAGGAAGTTTGCCTGGGACTGGAATCATGAGTACTTGGTGATAACTAAAAGTGTCAGGAAACAGAACGGTAAGCGTTGGAAAATTAATTAAAAATAAAAATATATAATAAGATGTTGTTGAAGGAGCATTGGAGTTCAGGAGAAAGCTAAGAGGAAAAGAGTCATCAAAGACATGGAACTACGTGACTCATAAATCATGCTGTTATTGGAACCACATATAAACCATAATGCTAATACATGATTCATGAATTTGGGTGGGGTTGGTTTTGTTTTCAATATTGGAGGCTATTGAAAAAAATGAGGCTTTTGGGAACTGAGAAGGAAAACTGGTGGTGGGGCCACGTTAAAATAATTGGGTAAATTGAAAAATATATGATTCATTTATTTCACCCCCTTCCATCCCCACCTAAATGTTATGTAATGTATGTGTAGGAGAGAGAGAGAGAGAAAGATAAAGACAGAGAGTATAAATGTGAGATTTCCTTGTTGGTGGGCTTATATAAAGATGGATAGTATGTTGCAGTTCCCCACTATTAAAGATAACTAGGTAAGGGGGGTGGAAGGGAAGAAAAGTGATTAAATAGCGCTTATAATTGATTGTGAGGATTTGATGGAAGAACATCTCACTCCATTGGCTGTTACCCATCTCCTTCAACACACTCTCAGAAGTTTGTGCATCCATGAAAATTCTCAATGGGTCTATGCAGTCTTTTGGAGGATCTTGCCTAGAAACTACCCTCCACCCAAGTAAGGAGAGGAAAAGATCAACCAATTCTAGCTCAGAAAGTTCATGGAAACAGATTTTGGGCACTAGGCACAAACATCACATATATACATATATACTTGCATATATTATATATATATATATATATGGACTAATTCATTATAAGATTATAAAAACTTGTGCATGTTAAACAGGATACTTATGCTGATTCCTCAATCTTGTTAATTTCTTGGTAATGTAGGTGGGAAGGACAAGGGGCTTATGACAGATCAAGAGGAAACAGAAGGAATTGGTAATGTTTTCAGTGTTTAACTTCAATATTGGAAGATATTTTTTAAATTTTCATGCAGGATTATTGTATTTGGTTAATAGTTAGTGTCTTATATGCATGCAGGATATTGGTCTGGGAAGATGGTTTCTGCAATTTTGCTGCCTCAACAGCACCTGAAATTAACTCTGGTGATTGTCCTCCCTCATCGGTTTATGGGAACTGTGAATTCCAACCCTACCAAGGGCTGCAACCGGAGCTCTTCTTCAAGATGTCACATGAGATCTATAACTATGGAGAAGGGTATGTATCAAATCAATTAGTACTAATTCACCCATTTGAGTTACATTCCTCGTATTTTGTTCTTGAGCAAAGAGGTTAATTAGATTTCATGGACCAGGTTGATAGGAAAAGTGGCTGCAGATCACAGTCACAAGTGGATATACAAAGAGCCTAATGATCAAGAAATCAACTTCTTGTCAGCATGGCATAATTCAGCTGACTCGGTAAGAAAAACCCCATATCTTGCTTTTGCTTACAAAGGGAACATTAATTGTCAAATTTTCTTCTTAATATAATCTTAAGTTATTTATTTTATATTAAAGGTTCCTTGAAGGGAATTCCATGTACAAATAGTCATGATTTCATGTTTATATATATATGCCTCCCAAAATAAATAAAAAGATAATGTGTCGGTATCCTTATTATATATGTTCTTTTACAGCACCCTAGGACTTGGGAAGCCCAGTTTCTGTCTGGTATAAAGGTATGGCATTCATATATGCAAACCCCTTAGCTTTCTGTCAGTATCTCTTTTCTTTATTTGATTCAATTTTTATATATATACATACATATCTTACAGACCATAGCCCTTATTGCTGTAAGAGAGGGTGTTGTTCAATTAGGAGCCGTTCACAAGGTTCATTCTCTTCTCCCTTCTCTTTTTCTCTCTCTCTTTCTCTCTCTGACACACTCACAACCACACACACAACACTTGAGCAAAATTTAGTTTGCAATTGTAATCACTCATATCATGTCCACTCTATTTTGTCTGGCTATGGCACTCAAGGTGATTGAAGACCTGAGCTACGTGGTTCTATTGAGAAAAAAATTCAGCTACATTGAGAGTATCCCTGGCGTGCTATTGCCACATCCATCATCTTCTGCATACCCTTATAAGGTAGAAGGCTATAGTGTACCAGAACAGTGGCATTTCCAAGGCAACCTTGCACACCCAGCTGAATTATATGACCACTTCAACATGCCACTTAAGATAACTCCATCAATGAGCAGCCTTGAGGCCTTACTCTCTAAGCTCCCTTCAGTGGTGCCACCACCACCACCAACACAACCACAGTCTCATGTTTTGCCATCCCAAAGGTCATTAGAATTCATGGGAATGCAAAAAGTGGCAAAAGAAGAGTTAGATGATGAGGTATACAGGCCTGAATTGGATATAGGTGAGAGTAGTAGTTCCATTCCAGGATACCATTATTTCCATCAGCAACAAGATCAGAATGTAACTAGGAGTGGAGCCAATAATGATTTTGAGTATTAGACTTATTTGAAAAGATGGGAAATCAGTGGAATGAAAATTAATTAGTCCTAATTAAGTCCTAACATGTAGTAAGTTGTTAGTTTCATCAGTATTACTATGATAATAATAACTACTTTGTTTCCAGCTTGTCTAGTCTTTTACCCTTGTTTTTTTACATGTTTCTGATTCTTGCTAGTATATTGGAGTGCCAAGGAATTTCCATTCCATGCATGCTTTGTGCAGCTATATATGCATCTTCTCATCATGATGTCTCAGTCGGTGTCTGTGTGTATATGAGAATCAATAGCACGTAGTCACATACGTACACCGAATCTAGCATAATGTATGTGACTGTTTAATTAGGATGCTAAATGTAACGTGCAATACTTAATTAGCCACATGTTAAGGCCAAAACCGGTAAATAAATGCTATAGTCTATATGTATAATAAGGTCATTTCCTCAATATGCTTAGAATATAACAGATGATGATTCATAGATATATTTTATTTGGGGTTCAATTGGAGATTAAGGGGATAGGGTAATCATAGTTGTATGTAGGGAGAGAGAAGAAACACTGTACCTATGTCACGCTGTTGGCACATGCTTTATATATATAATATAGTTATGCATACTGAAAATGATACAGTAGGTTGAAAATAATAATGGCAGTTGCAGAACAAAGCTGTAAGTGTAACCTAACTTACCGTTCATTGTTTATTAAATAATTGGTTAGGCAAACGCAGGTTGCTGGCAGCAGGTGCAAGCATTCCGTATTTTGTTCAAATGAAGAGTGAAATTTGGTTCACTTGTGTAGCTCTAATTCACAAGGCTTTTTATCCAAAAGAGTCAATGCAACATTATACACACACTTTTCTCTCTTGACGTGGCTTTTATTTAATTTATTAAAGTGATGGCAAAACATATACTTATATCATGTCTTATTCTGAAATTTATAAATTTAATTTAATGTTTGATTAGGAGACTTTAACCATAAGGTGCTAGGTGTGGAAGAATGAAATTAATTGTGGTGTGATAAAAATCAAAATTCTCATAACGTTTTGAGTCTTTTGACACATAGGATATATTATATGAATAAAATACAAAAAAAATCTATTCGTGCATTGGATTGGAAATGGAATCTTTGCCTCAAATTTATACCGTTATTAGTCTCGCACGAAATGCATATGGGATCAATCTCACACGTGCCTAATGCGGGACTGACACGTTACTGGTTATGCATTACAAATGTGCGGGACTAATCTTTCATATATTTCGTGCGGGACTTTTTGGAATTAATGCAAGCTTGAAAATTTCATAAATATAACACATTGATTTGGATCAATAAATATTACATATTGATCATGCCAGACTAGACTTGCACGTCAATCATGTCAAACTTGCCAGTATACGATTACTATAAATCTCGCAGGGCTGACGTATTAAATTAATCTTATATGATTAACGCATGAGACTGGATATATTAGTTTGATTACATATTTTAAAAAATAAGAGAATGATTATATTTACAAATTCTTATAAATTATACTTTTATTATGAGTAGTATATATTATTTAAATATGTATTACCTACAGTACATAGTGTAGTTTGTAAGAATTTGTAAATTTTGAGTTTACAAAAATAACTTATCCCAAAAATAAATTATTCCAATAATCTTATATGATTATTATAAAACTTCATTTTCAAGGAATTCTAATGCTACTAACTTCAGTTGTGAAGAGGAAAAAAGAGAGCCTCTAAACCTTAAATTATTATAATGAGTAAAGATTAAATTATCCTAAAGAGTAAGGATGCAGATTCAATGTTCTTCTTGCAATATAAAAGTTATTTCAGTTAAGAGTTAATTAACTACAATTATTATGATAACTCATGCAGACATATGAAGTGGATACCACTCTCTTCTTCATTTTTTACTTTTTCTTTTTCTTTTTTTTCATATAACGCTATGGAAATAAATTTATTTTCGAGTTATAAGAGAAATATTAAACTAATATGAGAAATATTGAACTTGAACGTGATAAATAATCTGCCAGAGAAAAAGTAATAAAATAAAAAAATGTTATTCACACATAGGATTAGAAATCGGTTAAGTTGGGCCGAATCTTCTCTTAAACAGACTTGACATGTTTCTCAAAGATAAGGGACGAAATATCTTAATTTATTTTATGATTAACCTAAACATATTCAAAGACTTATTTTGTGATAAGCTCAATTATTTTAAATAAGTCAATAAATATATATTTTTAAGATTTTGTAATAAAAATTAAAAATACAAATAATAATTATATATATACACTTATAAACTGATTGATTCATTAAACTTAAAGGTTAACAATATTAAATTAAATATACTTTTTTAAAATAATTAACCTAACTTATCTAACATGACATCTAGCTTATTCCCACCATACACTTCTTTTTTAAACTTTTGTCGCAAAAGAATAAAATAGAAATTCACATTCCTTTTTCTCACTCTTTTTTCTCATAAAAATAATGTGAAAAAGAAGTTTAAAAAATAACTGATACGATAATTGCATAATTTATTTTCTAAAAATTGAATATAATAATTACCACACCAACTGAAATTCATAACTTTTCAAGATAAGTTCATAGGAACAATAATAACCAAGTTCAAGTTTCTGTATTTTATATATGAAGAAATATTTTTAAAATTTATAAAAAATTAGTCTCAACTTCAAATTTTAATTGAATTTTTTTATGAACACATAAATTATGAACTTTGGTGACAAAGTTTTTTTATTTTCTTTAATGAATTCTTCCGTCTCAAATAAAACCAAAATTTACCCAGTGCTACGAGGTCAAAAAAATTAGTAAGAATTTAGATAGAATAATTCCAGGGTAATTGTTACATAAAATAAAGTGGTTAATTTATATCAAAAATTTAGCAAGCATGACAGGCATTTTGACAAAAAATTTAAAGCATTTTGAACTTCTAAAAGTTAAAGCAATGTATAAGTTTATTCATCCATGGTGCTTTTGTGATGAAGTGATGTCTATAACATAACAACTTAGAAGTTTATTTCTCCTTCATCCATGGTTCTTTTCTGATGCCGTGATGTCTATAAAAACTTAGAAATTTGCTTTTCCTTTGAAAGTCAGAGTTTTAAACTACGATTTTAACATATATTTGAATTAATTTATTTTAAGAAAAAAAAAAGGTTTTAACCAAAAAATTTGTTAGAAAGCTTTAAAAAAATAATGATTTATTAAAATTAAATCATTCCCACACATGCAATTAATCAAATGATTAGTAAATTATGCAAATATGCATGCCGACTTTATATTATAATGTAGAATATATATTTTTTAATTTAATTATAATCAAATCTGTATAATAATGGTAACCTTAAGTTTTCAACTAATTAATAAAGTAACCATATCATAAATTTTGGAAGTAACAAATAAATACATGACAAAAGAAATTAAAAGATATTAATATTACAAAAAAATGAAACTACAAGAGGTGAGAAGAGGTAAAGGCCAAAGGGGAATTCAAAACTAATGGATCTATCATATTGATGAGATAAATACTAGGACTATTGTAATGGCTCTTCTTTGATTTGTCGTTTATGGTTTAAAACCTAGGTATGAAGGGACATATTTCTTCATTGCTTCTTTTTTTACCCAAGACTTCTGTATTCAACTTAGCAAACATTCGGGGGTTGCCAATCCTTAGTAATTTCTTTTTTTCTTCTCACTACCCAAACAAATAAATTAGGGTAGCTCATTTGATTACTTAGGAATTCTCCTACTACCAACTTCATTTGTGAAGAGGGAAAAGTGGGAGCTTCTGTACATTAGTGTGAAAATTATATGTTCTCCATGCAATGTAGAATTTATGTCAGCTAGAGACTAACTACAATAATTCTGATAAATAGATTATGGCAACCAAGATACATATAAATATTCAACTTAACTTATTACTAATCCACTCAGGGGGGTTGGATCCCATGAAAAACTTCCGTAAGTTGATTTTGCTCCAACATAGGGGATCCTTGCGTAAATTCAACAAGTCTTCACAAGAAACTGAAATCAACTCGTAATGTTATAAGTTGATTATATCCCACTAATACTTACTGAAGATAACTTGAGAAGGTGCAGTTTCTTAAATATTACTCACAAATTCGAATGCCCGAACATAGGGGGGGTGAATTAAATAACAAAGCTTACAGTCTATTTCTTCAAACAAGGATGACATCCTTTCTAGAACAGGCAATACAAGGATTTATCAGTGGGCTCCAAGTATAACTAAGATTCACATAATAATGTTAGTTACGACTGTAATGAACATACAGTGATCATCCAAATCATATCTAAAATCAGAACAAAATTTCAGGTTGAAAACATAAATGATGCACACAAGTGTGTACAAATAAGCTTCAACAGTTTTCACATGTAAAGCTTCAATGGAAAGCTGCTACTTCATCTCTGAAATGTGTGAGTAGGTTCTCAATACTCATAACGCTATGGTCTGCCTTATCTCTAACTCGTACACTCACCTGGAACAATGAATCAACTTTTAGCTTCCCGCCGGGAGAAAAAAAGATTCACCAAAAGATAGCCAAGACACAATCAATAAGCAAGCAGCAGCGAGTGCATGTAACCCCTCATGTATAATATTTTTACTAGTGTGGAAATGAAAAAAACTAATTTTGGCCCACAAAATCTTGGAACTCATGCCCATTAAGATAATGATACAAGACTACTAATGTGGTTAACTTCTTCAAATAAATCAGAGACCATCAGCACTCTTTGATAGAAAGCCTTTTAAGAGCAATAGGTGATAGTGATACAACCCTAACCAAAATTCAAGAAATCTATCCCAGGCTTAAATCTGACTTAAAATTCTTTCAAGATTTAAGGCCGAATTTTGAGCCAAACTGAGCCAAATACTAACATGCTCGAGCTCTTACAATCAAAATTTACCAAGCCCAAGCTGAAACAAATCTTTAACCAAGCTAAAATCTTTAGCCCAAGCTTGGCTTGGTAAGTAGGTCAAGGATAGTATATATCCTACTTTCAGTCTTAACTTTATCTCAGTTTTTGAATTGGAATTTGAATGATATTATATGTTTTGCACATGACAAAAGTGTATAATATTATATATGATAAAATATTGCCAAACGAGCTATTTACAACATTCATAAACTGAATATCTAACTATTCGGGTTCAGCTCGAATAGTAAAAAACTGCATTTGACTACAGGCCTAGGTCAAACACAAATGAAATGCATATCAAGACATGTTATAGCAAGAAAAGGGCAGAGGTTGTTGAGATATATAGTCCCACATTGGTTATATGGACAACTAATGTGGAGTTTATAAGACTTTGGCACTCCCACCCTTTAAGCTAGCTTTTGAGGTGGTGTATCTCAAGGTTCTTTACAGAGGTCGATAGGAGGTTTTGGGAACATAACTAGCAGATTGGAAAGAGTTAAAATAGAATTATACTGCCAATTATTTATCAGAAAGTAGAAAATAGGAAGAACCTGTCCTGTATTAGCTTCCTCCTCTCCAACAACCAAGATGTAGTTGTACTGAGCTAACTGAGCTTCTCGCACCTGCAGAATGCCATAACATAGAGTTAACACAATTCTATTTTATTAAGACATGAAATTAATGATAATAGAAGCATACTAAATTAAATAAAAAGAACTTCTCAATTGCCACTTGAATGGCCTTCCACGAATTTGAATATAGATGTAATTGTATGACTAAAAAGCTATGCCACACCACATGAATAAGATGCTAATTACACTAAAAGCATACAGCTTAACTCATTGGTAACTGAATAACAACATAGGGCAGGAAAAAATGGCACCATGTAGTATGAAATTGACTTTTGCAACCAACTAAGTTCTATTTGACAACTTTTATAAACAAATATGCCCTATGATAAGTCAGAAAACTGGGTTTCTCACTGTTTCATACGGAATACCATGCAAATTAACCATCAACATTTCATCAGGCAGTAGATCAAAACAGTGCGGGCATTATTTCCTTCTGAATGAAAAAAGTGTAGTACTAAAATCAAAATTATTGGTGCTAAAGATTTGTGTTACCTTCTTCTGAATCTTCCTATCAGTTGTATCAGCATCCACGTGATACCCTGCTTGGTGGATCTGATCTCTCACCTAGAAAATTGCAGCACAAGAATATGTTATACAATTAAGAAGCCCCTTCCTTTTCACATCATAATATAGTACAAGTGTCCCAACAAAGGTTTACAACTGGAAAAGTTCACATAAAAGCGTGTGACTGACTCTAAAGTCTAAACATAATTCAAAAACTGGAAAACCAAGTTGATACAATGATTTCAACAAGATGCAGACAAGCTCAGCAATACTAAAAACAACAAAAATTATACCCACCAAGGAGATTAAAAGTGTTATTCCATGAATATGCTAGCACACATCATCCCCTTCATTTAACTGTTACAAGAAAAAATATACAACGGAACAAAGCCGAATTCAGAGCTATGTACCTGGAGTGCATAAGCTTGTGATTTCTCAGACACTGGGCATACAATTGCCTGACGAGGACTGAGCCAGAAGGGCCATTTACCCTTGTAGTGCTCTAAAAGTATGGCAAACATGCGCTCAACAGATCCCAGAATGGCTCTGTGTATCATAACAGGTCTCTCAATTTTGGCTTCATCCTCAGCTGAATATTCCAACTTAAAACGATCAGGAAGCTGGAAGTCAAGCTGCAAGCAACCACATTCATCCAAATATCAGTTAAAAAGTTATCCAAAGCTGAATCATCTGAGAGCAAATCAAGCTGAAAAATTTAAACCTGCAAAGTTGCACACTGGAATTTCCTACTCAAGGCATCAGATACAGTGATGTCTATCTTTGGTCCATAGAATGCACCATCCCCTTCATTCAACTGTAAGGTTTTACTCAGAATATAAGCACAGATATTAAAGCTAATAGATGACACATTCCATAAAAAATAATGTGTGTGAGAGAGACAGAAATAAAAATGGTATCAAGTAAACCTATAATTGAATTGAAAACATGATAGGCAAACTCCAGTTCTGGAAGCAATATCTTAAAATATATGATGCTGACTTCTGGAAGACATATAGAAGAGGATATAATTACCTGCCAAGGCTTGCCAGACTCATCTAAGGCTTCTTTAAGAGCATTTTCAGCCTTCTCCCATGTTTGCACATCTCCTAGGTATTTCTCAGGCCTCTACTCAAGTATTCAAAACACGCAAAGGAAAATAAATAACTAAATCTTTAAATGAAAGAGCAAAAAGAATAAAGGTAGAAGACTAAGCTTTGAAACTCGTTTTTGAAAGCATTGAAAAAGGCACATGGGCATTAAGATAATAAAGAGCAAAAGCATACCGTTGAAAGCTTCAGTTCATATGTGAAACCAAATATGTTATAGACATGATTGATGAAATTCAAGGCATTTCTCACTTCACCCTTTACCTGTAAAAATAAAATGAATCAAATCAGGAATTCCAACTTCCGCTCAAAAGAGACTTTAAAGATTTGTGTTGCATAAAAATTCAAAGTTCAACTCACCTGGGACTCCCTGCAGAAAATATGTGCATCATCCTATGCAAAATTAGAAACAAATGCCATTAATAACTCTTAACAGTTTAGCAAATAGAAATTAAAGATGAAGAGAGTGATCAAGATATCACAGGCTTGCAATATTCCCCCGGATATAATTGTACCATATTATAGAGAAATGAATAAAAAAAATTCATCATGAGCAAAAAATGATGTTTTAGCCACATTATTATAACTTGCATATAAATATGAACCCCAGGTGTTTAACTTAAATGAGTACGCCAATCTCCTCTATCTATATCTGTTGTTTTCAACCCCACAATCCCTAATCCCCAGTTTTTTAAAAATCGAATATTTCCAACTCCAAGACTCCACAGCTTTTCTGCACCATATTGCAACAGAAAATTAACGAGACTCAAAACATACAGTTCAAATTCCATGAAGAGATTTTTGTAATACTTAGTATTCACTGTGTGTATGCCTACAAAATTGAAAGAACTCTGGTGTAAAGTATAAAAATATATGCCTGCCTCAGTGTACCTTAACATAAATATGAATGTGATCCCTGGATTAATAACAAAAACAGAAAATTAATTTTATTTTGGAAATATAAAGCAAAAAAGAAAAAACTAAATCCCCTTTGCCCAAAACTTTCATTTTATTGTTCATTTGTGTTTAGTATGGGAGAAAGGTTTACCTGCTGAAATCTCCTAACACGTGTTAATCCACTCAGGGCACCACTAGCCTCATTCCGATGCAAAACCCCAAAATCAGCAAGACGAAGAGGAAGTTCTGCAGAACCATTGAAAAGTTGTATTCGATATTTAATATAAAAAGATCAGCTCAACAAAATTTAGTTCTTCAAACTATACACTCAAACTCATGGAGCATATACATAAAATAACCAAATTAGAGATTAGTTCACTAATAACATCAACAACAAATTAAATCCACCTCTCACCCCCCCCCCCCCCACCAAAAAAAAAACACAAAAAAAGGTATAATCTATAGTCCAGTTCAATTGATTGATAAAATAATCTTGCTCTACATGGCAATATGATATTATGTGGAAAAGTACAACTTCTAGATAAACCAACCCCCTTCCTCCTTCAGGGCAAAAGGATTACAGCCCTAAAATAGGAAGGGCAAAGATTAAGCCATAGAAAATGAAGCGGAGAAGGTATCTCTCTACATAGGCAGACTCACTTAACAGTCAATTCATGTAACTAGCAGCTCAAACATGTGCATCATACCAAATTCAACACAAAAATCTGAACTAGCTCAGCCACTCCAAGTGGGAATGTAAAAGATGCTATTTGAAGACATAAATGGCAATGTAAAAGAAGATTACCTCTGTATGATCGAACCCTGTGTTTAAACATCAAGCAGTGCCCCGGGCAATTCATTGGTTTCAACCCAAACTCTTGTTTGTCAATCTACAACACGTCAAAAATAATATCTTATGATTAGAGAACTTGATTTCTTTCAAAAGAAATTCCTGTTTGGAAGGTTTTGTAGATGCCTTCTTAAAATTTTTGATCAAATTAGTGCTTCTCAATCAACATCAACATCCCCTTTATCCCAAACTACATGGGATTGGCAGTTGATGAATCCAAATGAAAAGCAAGAAAAGAATCAAATTAATGTTTCTCAATCTTGCACTAAAAACATCATCTGAAAATAGACACACAAGACTATAAGGCCAAAAGATCCATCCCAAATATCAAATGCACAAAAGGTACATGCAAACCCATATATATATATATATATATATATATATATATATATATATATATAAAGGACAACATAGTACTATAAAGCTCTACTTATAGCAGACAGCCTTACCTTGCATTTGCAAGAGCCTCAATACATTAATCGGACCTGTGACTTCTAGGTCACATGGGGATAAGGCTCACCTTCACGCAATATGTCATAGATATACTATAGAAACCCCAACTAACCTTTAGTTTTCCAACATCCCCACAAATGATCCCAGGCCCACACATATTATTCATAAAAGTAACTATTACATGAGCAATTAGATAAATGAACACAAATATGATTCATCTAGCAAGATCAGAAGATTTGTTGTCTGATACAAACCTTGGGAGAGCCTCACTCCAAAAGTTAACTTGTAAGGTAGGAGAGCCCAAAGTCTATATAAATCTCCCACCAGAACCTTATGTTTCCGATGTGGAACTCCAAGTCTCATATCTTAAAACTGGACCTATACGGCTTGACTTGGCACTAGTTTTTTTACTAACTCTAGGCGAACACTACAATGCTAGTGTCACCAGTCACACCACCCGATTGCAACTGGCTTGACCTTGCCAACTGGGTCGTAACACTGTGCCACTCACACTCTTAAATAAACATACAAATACATTCATTTTTTTTTTTTTTGGGGGGGGGGGACATACCTCTAAAATAAACATATCCTCTTTATAATTTGCAGCATGACCAGATTGCACCCATAGATCCATGTTGAATACATTTGGAGATATGACCTGATGATTCAAAAGTAAGTAATAAGTATTTGGAAAAGGATTGTTTTGTGTCACATCAAGAAACTCCTACACTAAAACTTAACCTCGTGATAGCCCCTGTCTCTGTACTGATTTCGAATGAAGTCCATGAGTTTGTTATAGATCCGAGTACCATGTGGAAGAAAAAACCAGCTTCCCGGGCTGACAAACAAAAGCAGATGAAGACATCAGTCAGAGAAGCTTACTAAAGCTGCAATCAGACAAAAATGAACCCACCATACCTCCATTCATGATGAAGAATAAGCTCCTGTTTCACACCTAAAATCCTATGATCATACTTTTTAGCCTCCTCCAGCCGAACCAAATATTCCTGAACAAACAGGGAAAAACAATTAAATGATGAAATCATAATACACCATATGGTATGGCCACAGATGTTAATATGTTCAGTTTCACCCTGAAGAATAATGGAGTATAACATAAGTTAATAATTTTTAATACCAATGTTTTAAAAACCAAGATGGTCTTTGAATTGGTAAAGGAAGAGGTTTAAAGATTTTAAAGTCAAACAAGGGACAAATTAAGGTCTTACTGGATTTTTATATATTTTAATATAGAAATATATAAAAAAATTGATATATATTATGATAGGATCTTCACTCAATAAGAGAAATAGAAGACAAAAGAGACTTGCATTAATGGAAACTTCAACAATTCACCAGTTCTGATACAGATTACATTACTAAAACAGGAAGGAAATACAATAACACTATAACAGTAATGGCAGAGAAAATTAACAGTAATAAAAGAAGAGAAAATACAGTGATAGTTCTAGAGCATTCGAGAGGCTCTAGTCTCTCCCCAATCACCCAAGAGGTGCCCAAAAGTCCCAAGTCCCAAAGATGATCCTCTCCCTTCCTTCTCCACCTATTTGTAACAGACTTGTAACAACCCCTTGCTTTCTACGTGACCACCTCCTTGCTGTCCATGTGACCACTCTAACCAATTTATCCTTCCACTGCTGCCGACTCATCGCATTTTATTATTAGGGATCTAACATATTACTAGCTCCATCAATATTAAACATAACAAAAAAATAAAAACATTTAGTTCAGACTATTACTAACATTGTCCACATGCTAACTCATTTTAAAAAATAACATTAAAAAATCATCTTATTCCACATGTTAACTCCGCCTATGTGTGCTTGCATGCATGGCCTGTCCCAAGACAGGATAAAGGAGGAGGGTTGGCGTCAGGTGTAGCGAACCGGCCATAAAAAAATAGCTATATTTATGAGATGAACCCTGATGATAAAAAATCATAGTAAACTAAATTAAAAGAAAATGAATTACCAAACGTTTACGTGTAAAAACTATAAAAAAATAAAATAAAATTGTTTATGAAAACTCAAAATGAAAATAAATAAAAATAATGATGAATATGACATAATTTAATTTATATATGGAAACCATAAAAATGATATATTGGGATTTTCTAATAAAAGCACATGAAAACCAATTTACAACTGTATATAAAGTCTACTATACTAGATTACAATATATTTGTCTAATAACAATATATAGGTATACTTTATAAGAAGTTCAAGTGTATTAGTGATATAGGTATACGATATAAATTAAAAACTTGAAGTGCATCAGTGATTAACTGGTGCACATTCATGCATACTGACCAGGTTCGAGACCTACTGATGGCATTTTCAGTTTTCAAAATAGAGAAGCCTTGGACCAGAGCAATTAGCCAAAGCGTGGGAGGTCCAAATGGTTTGGCTAGTTCACCACTGGTTTTGAGACCCATTTTAAGACATCCGATTACAGAGGCTTTGACTGGACCCGCCAGAGGACCAGTTTGAGATTATATTAGTCCGACCCAATTTTAAAATCAATGTTTACATAGCAAATAGAGAACTTTTAGTAATCGGTGGCTCGTATAGCTATCATGTATGACTTGGCACAGCTATTAGCATAATGGCACATATCACATTTTTAAATATATATTTAATATCATTCACAATGACATCATATAAATAAAGGGGAAAGTAAATCTTATGTTGTAGGAGAATTCAAATCTCATGTCATAGATATATTAAGTATGGGACCCACCTATTTAAAAAAAATAAAAAACAAAAAAAATGAGTGGCACACCTTTTTATGGTGTGTGTAGGAAGGGTTTGTTTTCTCATGCAACATGAGAAAAACAAACCCCATAAATAAAATAGCTAAAATATAACACATGGAAAATTGGAATGTAGTTACACCATCCCAAGAAAATGAGCATGTATTGGGCTTTTAGTCTTAGCATAACAAGAGAGAAGGAAAACTACTATAATTTCTACAAACGGCTACGGAAAATATACAATGTGGCCAATGCAGATTAATACAGAAGCACACAGTGAAGCCCAAAACAGAAAACTGTATATTATAGATCATCCCCCAGAACAAAGATCCAGAAAGCAGTATAGCAAAAGAACGCATAGCCAAATACAAAGTAAAACCAAATTAGCTGAGAAGAGAGTAGAGGAAGCAAGAGAAAAGAAGAGAAATCAGAACAGAGAAAAGAAGATCGTGGGTGACCATGGGTGAAGTTACTTCACATGAACACAGGACAATGAGGCTTCACCAATGAAACTCAGCCTCGGAAAAACACAGACGGAGCCAATGAAGGAATTTGAGGGGAGCTTGAGTATTTTCGGTTTTATTTATGGATGACTCAAAACAGAAAATGGATGTGGTCGACTTTCCCTTGGAATTGATATCAGACACTATTTTTCTATAGCCACATATAGAAGCATTAACCACATACTACTTCAAAAACACCATGCTAAGCACGTAGAGTAGCATAGAGGAGATAGGGTACCAAATAAATGCTATGCCACACAATTAACACCTATGTTAGTTATTTACTTATTCTACAAGGAAACACAGCTGAACATTCAGTACACCAGACGGTAGACGCTATTTTGCAATACTTGAGCCCATTGTGAGTCAATGGTGGTCATTTTTACTTTAGAGTTGACAGCAGACACTATTTTTCTTTAACCATAGCACAGATAGCAGTACTATCCACGCATTAATTCAAAAACACCATGGTAAGCATGTAGTGTAGTGCAGAGGAGCTAGGGCACCAATAAATGCTATAGCACACTATTAACAAATATTAGTCGGTAATTTACTTTTTCCACAAGGTACTGCAACTGAACATCAGTCCACCACATTTCAGTCTGCATAGCTGGATTATTTACCCACAGAAATAACTTAAGAAATGAAAATCACCTTTAAACTCTTCTGATCAGGATAAGATATTCCATAAACTCTTTGTAAACTTTCCCGATTCTTGTCCCCCCTCCAATATGCTGATGAAGCCTAGAATTGCAAAACCAATAACGAAAGTACTTGCCATTCATATAAGTTTATGCATAAATCAAACTTGATTTAAAATGGTTTCATAAGACAGCTAAAACGCATACCTTTAAACATGCAATTGCTTTGACAAAGGATGTATTAGGTATATGTGGTCCACGACACAAATCAACCAGGGGACCACATCTATATACTGTGATAGTCTTGTCAGCGGGCAAATCATTGATAATTTCAACCTGATCACAATAGCCATATAGCCCCAAAGCAGCAAATTGCAATATAAAAAATTATAGGAGAAAGAAAATAAGAAATATGGTTCAGATCAATATGATTACGCAATAAAAAGATGATATAGCTATTGTCATAAAAATAAGATGTGTATAGCAACAAAAAAAAGATATACTTGCCTTGAACTTATTATCCGAAAACATCTCAAGCGCCTGATCACGTGTAACTTCAATGCGCTCAAAAGGTTGCTTTTCCTGGAAATATAACATTTATCATCCATCACACATATTAACACAAAAACAATGTTCATCATAACAATTATCAACAACATCCATTAAATCCAAAAATTTGCAATAACATACAAGCTAGAAAGAATTTTGGACACACACAGAAAATATGGAATATAATAACCATATCAAATTTTCTTGATTAAGGGGAAAAACTGAAATCTCTTGCATTGTGATCGGAATCTTTAGAAATAGGAAATGATCTTATTTGATTTGATTTAGAAATGAAATTCTAAGTTCAGAACCCATTATAAAAGTGGGATTTGAATTGATTTAGAAATCGAACATATGTTTGGAACTAATTAAAAAAGGAATTGATTTGATATCATTTTATTAGATAAGCTATTTTGTAAGGATAAAACAGTTATCCTATTTATTTAAATTTAAACTAAAATCAATTCCCGCCAAATCTTATCAAATTTGAGACAATTTTTAAAACAAAAGCATGGATTTCAAAAAATCAAATAAGGCTCCTCTAAAGTGAGTAAATAAGGGTGTATCCACCCTTTATTTAATTCAAAGTGCACCTAGATCTTAACCCATTAAAATTCAAGGGTGAATACATTTGAAAATCAAACCAATTACAATTTTTTTAACATTCCAAACCCAAAATTCAATACAAAAATCAAATCAAATCAAATCCCATTTTTCAACACTCCGCACACACTCTTGTTGAACATCAGACTTCCAGATTAAGAAATATATGTAAAGGCACTGATATGTGGAAGGAAGACTGATTGATGTTTCATTCCATAATTGTTCAACTATGAAGTCTCCATAAGATTATAACTTGAGGCTTTGAGGAGGAATCAACATAAACGGAAAAAACGCTTAAATATGCATTGTTCATCGTGGTAACCAGAAATAATCCAAATAATCCTAGTAGCAATATATAAATATAAACACATATATAAGCAAAGGAAAAGAAATAATACCGAAACAGCCTTCAATGCCCCAGTCTCAATTTGTTTAAAGTGATCATCATTCAGACCCAAGTCACCGTAAAACGCATCATAATAGAATCCCTAAACAAAGAGACATTCACTTTCTCATTTGATATGCATATCATATAAAGCATCACAATTCACAACAGAGTCAATAGAGCCGGAACACAATAAAACATTCAACACAAGCAAACACACACCTCTCCTCTAGTGGTGCAGGGCCCAATGCAGAGCTTACATCCATACTCCGTCTCGAGAGCCTGCAAACAACCAAAAAAAGTTAAAGTCACCATCATCATCATCGTTATAATTCGAATTTGAAAACAAAACGAAGCGATTGAATTATTGGAGACCTGGCCGAGAATGTGAGCGCTGGAGTGCCAGAAAGTGTCGCGGCCTTCGTCGTCGTCGAACTTGAAGATCTGGAGCTGGCAATCTTCCTCGAGAGGGCGAGTCATGTCCCAGAGGATGCCATTGACCCTGGCGATGAGAGCGTTATTGGCCAAGTTCTTCGAGATTTCGCGAGCCACGTCAAGAGGAGTCGTGAGCCACTTTTTGCCGTCCCTGACGTTGCCGTCGGGGAGAGTCACCTTTATGGGATCCGACGAGAGGGAGAGGCGGAGTGTCCGCTGCTCCACCTGGATGGCCTCGAACAGCTGGATGCGCTTCGGTATTGCGGCATTCAAGTAGGCCTCGTCTTTCGCGTGAGCAACCATAGCGGCGCTGGCGCCGGCGGAGGAGGAAGAAAAACGGTTACTGTGGAAATGGAGAAGGTGAGTGAGTGGAGAGAGCGAAGCGTAACGGCGGAAACGGATTAGAGAGCATAGCATAGCATAGTGTGTCTGTTGTTAGTGACCAGTGAGGTTTAGGGTTTTTTTCTTTTTTCTTTTTTATTACAAATTTTTATTATACAGTTACAATTGGCGTTGGTCAGAAGCAAACTACGCCTGTTAAGCACGATTTGACTCTGGATTCTTTGTGTTCTCTGCTTATGGGAGAGATTTATAAAACGACTTAGAAACTTTGTGCAAATTTTTTGAAAACCTTACCAAACATTATATTTTTTGAATCCCGTATAAATTTTTTTAGGCAACAAAATAAAACTCATCTATCAAACACACGGTTAAGGTGGAATTCATCTCTGCATCACATTTTATATACATATAGTCAGAATTACTAAAATAATTATTTATTTTCATTTTAATTTTTATAATTTATTTGTAAAATTACCCTTCAATAGTTAAAAAAGGGAAAAGGCCTACTTTTTTTTTGGTGGAAAAAAAAAAGGCCTACTTTTCCTTTCAAAGAGAATGGCATATTTTATACTTTTGTCGTGGCATCAATAAACTTTTACGCCCATGCCAAAACATATAATAAAATAAGTTAATTTTAACTAAAATGTTCATTTTAATTATTTACAGCATGATCAAAAAAAAAAAATTAAACGAGTTGCACAATTTTTTTTAATAATCTTGTATTTGCATTACAGCTTACACCAATAAAATGAAAGAATTTTTTTTTAAATTTTTCTTTCATTTGCTTTTTTCCATCAGTTGAAATAGACATAGTTTGGGATGTTGTTACAGGATGGTTCGGTGTGGGACGGAAGAGTTTTGAGGCTTGGCAAGGATGTTGCTCCTATAGTAATGGCAGAGCCGAAAATTTTTGTAAGAAAGGAATCAAAGGATGAATTCGAAGCAATTCACATTAATTTAGGTAGGGTAATGCAATTGTGTAACTAGGAAGAAGTAACAAATAACAAATAAACATAGATAGCCTTTTTTTTTTAAATTCTACAACTATAATTCTTCCATTAATTCAGTGGGTATACAGGCTACAGATGTGCAATAGGCTGGGAATCATAAATCTGTTGAATAACACAGCTCGTTCATGCTTTGACGTGCCCCACGCAGACAGACATATTGGGCTGAGTAGGTGAACTATGTAAGAGCAGCCCATATTTGAAGAGTGCGATTGTATTGGATTCTTTATAGTTAGCAATCTCAAACCCAGTTAATCCTAATCCACCGGACAGCTACCGGCAACCGCTGACAGAAGACCGAATGTGTAACATATCACATATGAAACTTCATCTAAATGACTAAATGTTTACTTGGAAGCTGATAATATCTACTCATTATTTCTCTGCTCTTTTATTGTTTAGACTTTAGAGCACCAATGAGGACAGAAATATGTGTGATGCCATTTTTTGCATATGAGAAATAATTTTGTTGTAATCTTACCCAATTTAATTGAATTAGTTGATCAATTGATGAATTTAATAATATTCAAATAGGAAATAAGATAAAGTAGCCAAAGCAATTGGAACGTGTGATAATTTGTCATAACTTGAGCTACAGAACTCCAAATGAGGCGCGGTTCGAAACCACGCGTAGCTAATGAAGAGAGGAGGACATTTAACCACCTTTGGTCTAATATAATAATGATATGATGTTAAGTTTAATTTATTTTATTCTGCAATGTAATATGGTTATGATCACGCAATTGGGCATTATAAATTCGGCATGTTGTAAAATGAAAAATTTAACCAGATTTTATTTGAACCCATGTGATTGTAACTGCGCTTAATATCATCGTGCGATGTTAACGAACCGGTTCTAGAATAGGACGTTACAGAGCAGATAAATAAAATATATTTAGGACAAAATATTCACCTAGACTTGATATCTCCGAGTGAAATCTTTTAGGACAAAATATATTCCAAATCATTATGTGTTTAAAATTTTTCTTGGAGAAAAAAGTTGGGGTAACAGGCTATGCTGTTAAATAGTTTTGCAGAGGGATAAATAAAATATATAATATTTATTTTAATTTGGTCACATTTAATTATTCCTAAAATATTAATATAATTTTTAAAAAAGTTCAAAGTTCGAAAAATAATCACTATAGCAGACGATATTTTTTACAGCCTTTAAGTTATAAAAAAAATAAAAGATTATCAGGCACCTTCGATATACAACACAAAAATACTCGTCAGAAGAATAAATAGAATGAAATTTAACACGGCAGAATTTTCGTGGAAAAGAACTTGAGACCACTAATTAAATTGAAATAACCTCTTATCAATTGATGCATGTGGTAAGTGGTGTGATTAAGCTGTTTATATTACAATATTCTTATTATATCCATTATCTCTAATTACAACAAATGACATCATTGTGTCCATTATATATAATTATTTACACGAGTTTGATAGTCCTCTAATATTACATCACGAGCTCAATGGTATTTACTAATTAGGAGCTATTAATTCAAACGGGTGAAAACGGTCTAAGGTTGTTGAATGGGCATGTGATTTGAATCGGTCTTTCCCTATATAAACACTGGAACTTGGCTAAAACCTTTTAAGACTTGTTAAAACGTAGAACAAGGGACATGTGCAAGCATGTGCGATCCATTCCCACCACAAGGCCTAGCTAAGAATAAATGCAAGATCACAATCGCTAATGACATCGCACGCAATCAATCCTTCTAATATCCCGTTAATATAATTTTATTTTTATCTCTGTTAACTTTCAATTTACTTAAATACTGGTATATATCGAAGTTAAAGTGTTTACATAGAAATAGTAATACAATATTTAGTTATGTAAATAACTAATTCAAATCAAAAACTTAAACTTGATAAGTGAAGCTCATCTCGTAATCCCGTGGTCAAGTACCATATAAAGCAACCAACCATTCAACCCAACAAGTTAAGCTTGATAAGTGAAGACTCATCTTATGGACTCTTTACCATAAGTGGGTTTGGACACCACATCTCAACCCAAAATCATAAGGTATTAGATGTATGAGTTCTTCCACTTATATGGTACTCATTCAACTCATTCTTAACCAATATGGAACTTCAATCACTCATACTTGAATTCCCAAACATTTCCCCCTCGAGTGTGAGTCTCAAACCCACATTTGCTCCCTCTCAAAGAGAAGCTTATTCGAGTATTCACGAGATTCATCAATGCTTGGCTTCTCATTAAGATATTAGCTCTTCCATCAAGGCTTCACTAAACTTATCAAGACCTTGGCTTCCCATATATTCAAATACTCGGATCACTACAGGCCAAACATTGTTGGCTTAAATACCATTAATTTGTAAATAATCAATTCAATCCAAAAGTTTAAGCTTGTATATCTCAAATGTATAAGTGATTTAGTGAAGCAATAGTATGAAATAGAGCTCAAATAAGGAGTTACCGTCTCAGGCAAAAACTAAGAATCAAGGGGAGGTGAAGAATATGGTATGCTATAGTGAAGTTGAATCTTAGCAGAATAGCAATAATGGTGAGTATGGAGAAAAAATGACTCCACAATAAAAAAATGAGGTGTATATAGCACGGAGAAAATTCCCTAATGTGGGATGACTCAAGGCAAAAACCATTTTGCATTATGGACCCCGTTAAGGTGTGAGACAATGCGCCCTTGCTAATGGATGAAGCATGTGTCTTTGGGAGAAAGGTATTAGGCAAAAAAAAAGATAATAGAAACCTTTGTTCCATTTTAAGAGAGAATGGAGACACTAGACCTTCAAATTGGACCACTAGATCATTCCATAACATAATTCATTTCTTTCTATAAATCCCACACTTGATTATAGTATAAGTGACATTATTTTTTGAGTAAAATTAGGGTGTCCCCAACCCGTAAGATGAGACTAACCCCTTTATGGCTTATAGCGAGAAAGATTTTACCATTGACCGTAAAGTGCTTCTCGTAGGAATCGAACCATAACTTCATCAGCCATCAAAACCCGACCTTTGAGCTACAATCCGCTTACCAACTGAGCTACATCTTGGGGTTAGTATGAGTGGCACTATGTATAAGCTTTTTTTGGTTTGGAGAATGAGAATCAGTTATTTCCCCTCTACTTTTACCCTTTATTACTAATATTTTTGGTATCATTATTGTGCCTTATAGGTGGGGGAATTGACCAAGGCTTAAGTACTGAAGGATGAGCAACTACAAACTATTTAAATTACATCCATTTCATTCATGATCTGTCTCTAAAATTAATCTCCATCTATAATTTAATACATGCTAAATATCTTCCCTTCATTCCCCCAACAAATATATAAGTCCAGCTCCACGCTTCACAATTCAGGTTGCTGGTCCAAACAATATCTCTGAGAGTTCAAGCAATCCTACCAGCACCACAGAGAGATCAATTAATTAATTGAACTTTACAAGTTGTAAGTTCTTTGCACTCCCTAATTATAACTAGGACTTTCTCTACTAGTCTTGAGTACTTTCCAACAATATTATTTGTTGCATGAATGGTCATGATCAATGAGCTAGCAACCACATGCACATATGGATCTACTGCAAGAATGCAACTAATTGATTCAACATATATGCATCTAGGGCCCTCGATCAAAACAACACAATATATACATGAATTAAATGCAACTTGCAATCACTAAAAAATAATTATTATTGATCAATGCAAGATCATACCTGATCCGGATATAATATAGGCCTAACCAGGGCCCAATAAACACATGGAAGCCCAAGCCCATAAAGGACCCGGAACAAGGTATAAAAGACAGGCACGGGACGCGATAACCCTATCACGTCACACCAGCGCGATGTCCATATCGCGGAACACCAGGCGCGATAGTCCCATCGCATCATACACGGCGCAGTGCCTCATCACAGCATGCAGGATATACTTACTCCCCACGCAACGGGATACCTTCTACAGACAGTAAACTTAAGGGCCAAGGAAACACCACCGCGCCCTCACACCAGTAAGCAATGGACAGCTCCAGCTCGCCACAACTCTACTAATAGACACCATGGCGGCAAGCTCCTCAACATTAAAACCATGACAGCCACACTACGTTGGCACCAAGGAACCTTTGCCTTCACCATGA